GGAAAAAGATTTTGACATATAATGAACAACGTTTGGTACACATTATTTATGTATGTTCATGTTATCGGTTATCGCTATACTTACCATTTATACTTACCGTCTCTCTTCCTCTTACATACCGTCATCTTCTTCCCCCTTATGCGATTACATTTCGCATCTTGGTCCCACCAATTGTTTTTTTTTGAAGGAATAGTGAAAAGATGGGATTTTTAATTGTGAATCATACAACAATACCACTTAATTATTTTATTAGTTCTATTAAATTTATTTTAAACTCAACTTATTTCCAATTTGAGAAGAAATATTTTAAACAGATATTCGGCATGCCTATGGGTTCTCCTTTATCGCCTATTATTTCTGATTTGGTTATGGAAGATATTGAAAGCAAGATTCATGCTACTATTGACATTGATATACCTATATACTACAGATATGTAGACGATATTTTATTAGCATTGCCTAAAGAAAACATTAAACAAACTTTAGAAATTTTTAACTCTCAACACAATCGAATTAATTTTACATTAGAAGAAAATGATGATGGTAGTGTTAATTTTTTGGATATAACAATAAATACATTAAATAATAAGATAATTTTTGTCTTATATAAGAAACCTACTCATTCAGGGAGATTTCTAAATTTTCTTTCCAATCATCCTTTATGCCATAAAAAAGGTGTTATTTTTTTCTTAATTGATAGAATTATATATCTCTCACATCCTAATTTTCATACATTAAATATTTCTGATATAATTAACAATTTATTAAATAATGGGTATCCTTTAGATTTTCTTTTTAACACAATTAATAATAGAATTAAATCACTTAGTCATAAAAATAAATTGAAGCAAACGAATCAAAAAGACTTGAGTGACAATAATATTAAAATGTATAGCACTTTACCTTATGTTAAAAACTTTACAGAAAAATTTCAAAACGTTTACAGAAAGTATAATTTAAATATAGCATATAAACCCATTAATAGTTTAAATAAATTTATTAAGACGGGTAAGGATAAGTTGGATAAAATGGATAATAGCAATGTGGTATATAAAATTAATTGTTGTAATTGCGATTGCTCATATGTCGGGCAAACAAAACGAAAATTAAAAACTAGGATTAAAGAACATAAAGCCGACATTAGAAAATCTAATAATCATTCTGTAGTTTCTCTGCATCAACTTCAATATGGTCATCAGATAGATTGGGAAAATATCAATATTTTAGATTCAGAACGTTTATTTTATAAAAGATCTATCTCGGAAATGATTCATATCAAGAAGCAGGAAAATGGTATTAATAATCAGAACGACAGTCTGATAATATATTGTTTCACAATATACATATATTACCATGACAAATAACTGATGTGTTATCAAAGGTGCCAGTTTAAATAAAGCGTATTCTCAAAAATGTAAACCATTAAAAATTTAAGTGATTATCTGATAATACATTACAATGACAAGTAACTGATATATTATTAAAGGTGCCAGTTCAAAGTGAACATATATAAATATATCTAAATGAAAAGTAATTCAAATGTTATTGAAGGTGCGAGTTCAAAACGAACATACATACATACAAGTAAAACGGATTACAATTTGATCCGCCATTTTCTTTTTCCGAGTCATTAACAAATTGGTACTCTGGAATTACAAATTAGAAATTTAAATGATTATCTGATGATATATTATCATGAAAAGTAACTCGTCTGTTATTGAAGGTGCGAGTTCAAAACGAACATACATGCGTATAAGCAAAACAGATTACAATTTCATCCTACAAAATAAGTGCGATATGTTATTCTTAGTGCAAAAATATAAAAGTCGTTTATTGAGATTTGACTTAAAATTTATACTAGCCCGTACAATGAAAAATAATTGCTTGTAATTCCAGAGTACCAATTTGTTAATGACTCGGAAAAAGAACATGGCGGCCTGCTTTCAAAACTTCGATGAGTTTCTCGGTGTCCACTTAGAAATAATATCGAAGCTTATACAGAGTAATTGAGAGAATGGATGGAATGAAGGCACAACTCTATTTAGACCCTTTACCAAGAAATTAGCTTTTTTATATAATGTCGATCGTAATAGAGAAACATGTAACTTCTTGAGGATATTGCATAAATTTATTTAATGCTGCATAGTTTGTATATTAAATCAAGATTTTATAATTAGACCTTTATTCTTCCCAACCCATCAATAATGACACCACTCGAAGTACGCAATGTATCACATTAGAATTTTCTAAACTTCTAGGAGGAAGTGAATGAATATATTACGTCAAATAATCAATAAAGTTTTTAACCGTATAGCTTGTCTGTAACTGACCCAAGAATTGATATATTTTATTATCATGATAATATATTGTTAGATAATCATTTAAATAAACTGTGAACTGGCACCTTTATTAATATATTCAGTCACATGTCATGGTAATATATCGTAATATTATCATTAATTTTTAAAAGTTTAAATTTTCGACGATACACTTTATATGTATATTCACTTTGAACTGACACCATTGATAATGTATCAAATTTTTTTTTTCAATTTATTTTTTTTTAATTTTGGGTTTACTTAACATTTGCTCGTTTCGGGCAATAAGAGAACGTTTTTTGAAACATCCATCGAAAGTTTTTCATATAAAAAAGCTAATTTCTTGATAAAGGGTCTAAATAGAGTTGTGCCTTCATTCCATCCATTCTCTCAATTACTCTGTATAAGCTTCGATATTATTTCTAAGTGG